TTGGGAGGCTGAGGCAAGAGAATTACCTAAGCCCAAGAGCTAGAGGTTGCTGTGAGCTGTGGTGCAACAGCACTCTGCTGAGGGCGACAAAATGAGACTCTGTCTCTTAAAAAAAAGAACTGTTTGTCAAGTCTTAGGTGCTTGCGAAAGTTCTTTCCTAGTACAGGGATCAGCCCTTGGTGATGCACGTTTTTGACCAGGCTATCATTTGGTCATTAAATTTGTTTATAATAAAAAAAAAAAAATTTATACAAGTCTACAATAATGCATTCAGAGGAAGCCTGAACCGTCTGAGATGGATGAAAACATACCCACCCCCTGTGCAGACTGCCAATCCAGCCACTTCAAAAGTCTAAAAGCACAGTGGTTTGAATGATGTGGCAAAGCCTGGGCACCAACATACCACTTATAGGCGTGTAAGGCTCTGAGCATCTGTGCATAGTCCCAGAACACACTAAGAGCTCCTTCTGGACAGGGGCTGAGACAGTCCTTCATAGCCCTAGGTCATACTCCAGGCCTCACCGCCAGCCAGCACCTTCCACAAGTTTACTGAATCAATGAAGAAATTAACTTTACGTTCTCAAAGGTTACCTCCTCCCCAAATGGTAGGGGTGCAGTGGAAGAGCAGGGCAGACAGCATCCACATATGCCCCTGCCTATGTTCCAGGCAGGTGTGGGAGAAATTCTGTCACCAGTTTCCATTATTCCTCTCTTCAACAGCAACAGATATTTTTTTTTTTTTTGAGACAGGAGTCTCACTTTGTCGCCCTTGGTAGAGTGCCATGGCCTCACAGCTCACAGCAACTTCAAACTCCTGAGCTCTAGCAATCCACATGTCTTGGCCTCCCAGAGTGCTAGGATTATAGGCATAAGCCACCTCACTCAGCCAGCAATAGCTTTAGTTCAGTGCATGGCCATCCCCAGTAAACCTAACTTCTCCAGCATTCCTTGCAGCCAGTTATGGTCATGCGACTAAACTCTGGCCCATGGGGTGGGAGTGAAAGTAACACTGGAACCTCAAGTCTTCCTGGTTCCTTAGTTCTTCTGACCCATCCGCCTGCTGGGAGACCAAGAACCAGAGGACCCTTCCAAGTTTATGTGCAGAGACCACTGGGTGAACAAGGCCACCTGGCCAGACCTGATTGTTCAAAGACAAAAAAGTACCCCACCTCATTCAAGCCATCATATTTCAGAACTGCTTCTCTGCAGTAGCTCAGTCTATCCAGCACCTTAATATAATCTAAGCAAACTTCTTTTTTTTTTTCTGAGACGGTCTCACTTTGTCACCCTCAGTAGAGTGCCGTAGTGTCATAGCTCACAGCAAGCCCCAGCTCTTAGGCTGAGGCGATTCTCTTGCCTCAGTCTCCCGAGTAGCTGGGACTA